TTTTTTAGAGGGCGAATACCATGGCATGTATTAAAAATAAACAACAACGTTAATATAAAAATAGATTGAATAGTACACCCTTATGCTAAGAATGTATTTTTTTGTTGCTGTTTATTTTGTTTTTATTTCTAATAGGAATGTGTTCCTGGGGGACCCTGTCCACATCAATATGGCTGGCAGCATATGGGAATAGTTTTTTAGAATGATGTTCCTCAGTCTCCTCTCAGATTGGAGAGTTTGTGTCCATTGTGGGAGGCATTAGCTGCAAATTACCTACTTGCCTCTGGGTCCTGGAGGTGTACAGTTTCTAAAGAGAAGGAAGCCTGCAGCCACTCACCATCTCTGCAGAGTAAATGATATGCTGCAGCATGTTCTTGTCCCTGGTGGTGGCAGCAGCGTAACAAATTGTGGTGGAAGAGGTGAAGATGAGCTCAGTGATGGCAGAGTAGATGTGTACCATCACTGTCTTTGACAGCCTGACAGCAGAGGAGCTGTGCCTTCTTAGTCAGGGAGTTGATGCACAGCTTCTACTTGAGGTTCTGGACAAGAATGGGGCCCAGAAATTGGAAGGAGTCCATGATGGCGACTGGATAGTCATACAGAAATATGGGGCAGTGTTGAGCTTCAGATTGGTCTGGTTGCACCAGATGACCTGTCTCACATCTCTAGGTCAATCCATCTTCCTGAGCCCATTCAGGGTGGTATTCGCAAACTTCAGGAACTTGACGGGATGTACAGCTGTTGGTGTACAGTTAGAAGAGCAGAGGGGAAAGAACACAGACTTGAAGGGAACCGCTGACCCAAATGTTCTACATAGTATGTCATCATTTTAGTTTTAGGATTATTGTATTCTGATAGCAGTAAAATGGCCTTTTATTTGTTCCTACATAGACGGGCAGCATGATTGATAAACTGTCTTTTCATTGTGACATTGTGATAATAGTCACCTTTAAGGTCAAAGCCATAAAACTGGAAAAATTAAGATGATGAAAATAGATTAATAAAGCTTATTTAATCAACGTCTCATTTAACTGTCCCTGTTTAATCCTCTGGAAAATGCAAAACTGTAAAGTGATGGAAAAGCTCTTTTTTCCATCATGACTGTAAGTCTTCAACCAGTGCTGCACATTATAAATACAGTTTGGAGCAGAAGCGAAAACACTTTCCTGCAGTCTTAAATGTCAAATGACTCAAGACTGCATTAGCGAACAGAAACCGCTGCACTTCAAAGCTCTATGCAACTCAAAAACCAAGAGTCAGGACTTAATACATTTTCTAGCAAGGTCACTCAGTGAAAATGACCTCACTCAGATGAAGCCAGTTTAATTATATGAAAATCAGGAGCCAGATAATGTGGGTTGTGTAAAACAGAATTTGGATAATCTCTCTTTTCTTAAAACATTTTTTTTCAACTATTTTCTTTTTAAAATTGTATTACAAAGCTAGATTTAACTCGTATCCTTTGAAGCCATAAAAATAGTAGTTATATACATTTATAATGCACTCAGTAAAAGCTTTCAAGGAGAGTTTAAAGTCACAGTGTTGTTCTTGACAGAGTTGAGCATGAATATGTTCCTGAATCACTTGCCGCTTATTTCTATAAGAATATTCTGAAGTGAGAACAGTTTATTCTGGAATTATTTAACAATATAATATTAAGGCAATGGATGAAAGATGTAATCTCTGTTTTTAGGGAGAAAAACTTGTATTCTTAATGCAGAAAACAGTGCAACATTTCCCCTCCAAGGAGAGAGCAAGGTGACTGCTGTGTGTGTGTGTGTACATGCACACATAGGTCTGTTTAAGCTGTTAAACATGCAAGCAGTCTCTCTGGGGACGGATTATGAAATCAAATCTCTACCATCACTTTAACAACATAAATTGAAGCCTTGTATCCTAAAGACCATAGCAGATTCTTTTTATTTCATGCAGGAGTCTCCAGGTAACTAGGAGCAGAAGAGTGACGCAGCTGCTTAATCTGTGATTTGTTAATTTTCTCTCAGACCACATTCAAGGTAGGTACAGTAATAACTTGGATGTTGGATGTTAACTAATATGTTAAAAAAACACAAGATTTTACTACATGAAGAACATAACCCTCATCGTGGTTTTATACATTTAAGCCGAATTTGGTTGTAAGCAAGGAGCAGAAGAAATATGTGAAAAGAGCAGCTTTTTGGAATTTTTTCTATAATAAAAAACAATTTTAGTGAGGAAAAAAAAAGAGGTGGAGATCATTACAGCAAAGCTGCTGACTTTGCAGTTATTTTCTTTTCCATGTTGTCAGCTCATTGTTAGAATGTTTTAGCATTTATGTGCATTGTTATGTGATATTCCATCTTCTCAGTTTGGCTGGGGGTCATCTTTCCATACAGTGTTCTGGTATATCATTCTACTTTCAATTAGCCTAAGCATCTAAACTTTTGTTAATGAATAATAAAAAAAAGTGAAAAGACAAACATGAAGATTTGTTTTCTCCAAATTAACCTGTTATATAAATCTCATGGTGCAGAATATATGATAAAACTTTCAGGAATTTAGCACATGGCCTATTTAAATTATATTTGCAAAGGGGCAATTTAAGATCTTTTCTACTTCTATACAATCTACAACATTACAAAAACACCTTAGATGTAGAAATGGCATTACAAAAACAAGAAATGCTAACCTTTTTCACGAGCTGCTGTCGATGTTCTTAATTTACGTTCTGTAACTATTCAACTGACTTTTACCTCTAACATTGCCTCTAACATTGGATTAGGTACATCTTGGTAATATTTAGGGTTAGGATAAGGATCTGGGTTAGGCCATATAAAATGAATGCAAGTCAATGAAATGTCCCCATATATCATGAAAACAAAGCTGAGTGTGTGTGTGTGTGTGTGTGTGTGTGTGGGGGGGGGGGGGGGTTATGGTTGTGTGTCTCTGTGTTGCCTGTGATGAACTGCCGACCTGTCCAGGGTGTACCAAGGCTTTAACCCACAGCCCATAGAAGGCTGGAGATAGGCACGCGCACCACCGTGAGCCTGATGGATTAAGCAGGAGAATATGGAGGAACTAAATTTTATGCAACAAAAATATATTGTTTTGATTTGATTTATCCCCACATCTCGTTGTTAATGCAATCAAGTTATACTGTATATAATGAAGCTTTCAAACTCTGTTATTGGCAAAGGTTTGCCTGCACTTATGAACATTTTATTTTTATTTATCTAGTGATATATAAACTAAAGATATTGTACAACAGATGAAAACAGATTGCTTGCTATTGTGTTTGTGTGATTACTATAGTTATCTTCATGGCCTATGTTTAAGCTGCTTTCACCTCTCATCCAAGAGGCTTCTTGAGTCTTTTTGCAAGCTGTGTGGTTCTGCAAGCTGTGTGGTTCTGCTGGTTCCGACCTACCAAGACCTATAGCACATAATGGGGTGGTTTGCAGCCGAGGTTGAAGTGGCTGGGATGAGAATCAGCTCTACTAAGTCTGAGGCCATGGCTCCTTACCAGGAAAAGGTGGCTGGAGGAGTTCATGGTTCTTCAAGTCATGTTCACGAGTGAGAGGAGAATGAAGTGAGAGATTGATAGACGGATCAGTGTGGCTGCTGCTATTATGCGGAAGCTGCACCAGTCTTGTGATGAGGAGAGAGCTGAGCTAAAAGGTAAAACTCTCAATTTATTGGTCGCTCAGTTTTCCTAGCTTTACTTATGGTCATCAAATCTGGATCATGACTGAAAGAACAAGATCCCAGATAGTGGCAGCTAAAATTTGCTTTCTCTGCAGGGTAGCCGGTCACACCCTTAGAGATAAGGAGAGAAGCTCAGTCATTCAAAAGAGTCTCAGAGTTAAGTGGCTTCTCCTCAACATCGAGAAGAGCAAGCTGAGGTGGCTCCTACATCTTTTCCAGATGTAGTATTTTGACCCACATGCAGAATCACATGGAAAACCAGTTAATATCAACATTTTATTCATAAAAAGCAAACAAGAATCTGGAAGCGGGGACTACAGGAAGTTAGTTGGAACTTTTTGGTTGGTCTGACTGGAGAAAGAAGACTGATCAGGAAGGAGTTGGTTGATGATAACTGATGATTGATTGATTTGGCTTAGGTGAAAGATGAAGGAGAGGTTGCTTGGATCAGTAAGTATTTGATTCAGTGGGCTGTGCAAATTGTCCAGGTGAGTGTGAGTGAGCTCCTAGAGTGTTGGCATTTGCAAGAGACGTCGTTTTGGAGATTGGGCAAGCAAGTGATGAAGGTTGAGAACTGCTGCACACATGTGAGACCTTTTCCACGAAGATTTGGGATGAACTGAGGTTCACTGGTAGTTATCAGGGGTAAAAGAAGAAAGATGACCCTTTGCCTCCTTATATACACGCTAGTTAGCTTGACTGACTAATGTTCTCAGCTGTGCAGCAACAAAGGGTCGGCCCTGCCACCAGCAAAGGTATTCTCTGCGACATTAAGCTGACTAACTCCAGAAAAACAGCAAGAACCCAGAGCTCTTAACAAACTTTGCAAGAACTTATTGGACTTTTCAGGAACATCACACATGCCTTTAGGATTTTATCTGCTACTTTTCTGAAGTGTATTATGTATTTTCCTGGATTTTCCATAATGCACTTTCCTGAGATGTGGGAAAGTAACTTGTAAATTGTTAAAGACGACTTATAATTCACTTCATAAGAAAGATAATTTCTTGGAAATAGCCAGTAGATTCTAGAAATTATCTAAAAAAAACTAACAAACATTAAAACCTAAAAACAAAAAGAAAGATAGAATCAGTTAAGTTGTGAGCTGTGATTTGCAGAGATTTTGCAGGCTCTAAATATTAATCTAGAAGTAATAAAAAAATGAAAGCAATAACTTTTAATGGAAAAATTTTTTTTTATCCAATTTATGCATTGCCTCCTTTGACTGTACTGATTCTTGTCTCCTTTGATTGTCAAGGCAACCGTATTTGATGGCCATGGTACGGAGCTTTCTGGAGAGAGAGGAACTTCTACAGCCTTCAGTGGAGAAGGTGCCAAAAGAAATCCATATCTGTCCATCACGTTGTGTCATGTTTTACCATGTAAACCACCCAGTTTAGGAACTCTCATGGATTCTAACAAATCAAAAATGTAAAAGAACATGATCAACTAGAAATGTCTCTTTTGCTAGAATAAAAGTACAGGTATAAAGAGCATACAGCAACAGTTGGAATTAAAAACACATCTGAAAACTGAAACAAACTAAGCTACAAACTCATATCATTCTTATATATATGCAATAACTTTTAAATGTTTGCACATTACTATTACAGTACATGATTATGGGGAAACATTGACTTATAAATCTTTTGCAAAGTTGTTCTATCTATAGTACAACACATATTTTCTGAAATTGTTCTGGGAACCCAGTGAATTTGCATGCAGTTTAAACTATACAAGATGACCCCACAAAGTATTGGGTGAAGTTTTACAATCATCTGAATTGCAGGTGAGGCAAATAACGTTGGTCAAGGGTCCCACATTTTCACCAGCTATTGTTGAGTGTTCGTTATGTCACAGTTATAATATAATATGATATATTTTAGTCCTTTCTAACCTTTTTAACCCAAACTATGCTTTAGCTGCTTAAGCTAAACTGTGAAAATGTGGAAAGGTCCAGAACATCTGACAGATATTTAAGGATATTTAAAAAACAGGATCTTGCACAGTACAAACATGAATGAACATTCACTGTGTCTTGTTTAACAGTACTAAAAACATTTTTTTCTTGTTAGTATCTATGGATAGTGGATCTCTGTTGATCTCTGTTGATGTCCGATGATTCCTCCCCTTCTGAGGACTCCTGTTTAATGGAGGTTGGGATCAGGACACATGGGGGCAACAGGACAGGTGCTGACCGGGGGGATGCAATGTTCCGTGGTCCACAGTATCATACGCCAGAGAGTCCGCTAGCAGGAGGACCGAGGGCCAGGCGGTTCCTGAGAGGGGAAAGGTCTAATTCCTGCTCCTCACCTAGCACAGCCACCAACACATATAGGTGAGCACAACAATTATGCTAGAATGAAAAAGAAAATGCTATGACTCTGCCTTGGTAACCTGTAGGTAGAAATTTAACACTCTCCATCTTTTGGCCAGGTCTCCAGTGCTTCAGCGCCAGGCTATGTTTGCCAGTAGCTGTTCCCAGCTTGAAGCAATAGGAAATTCAGAGATTCAAGTGAACCTCACCGACCCCTCAGACCAAGATAATGTCCCAGCCACCTCTGTTTTGCCTCCTTCAACATCCTCGGCAAAGGATGAAAACAGACTACACCCTCCCCATGGACTCCTTTACCTTCGACGAAAGGCTGAGAGGAGTGAAAAAAATGGCGGGACTGTTAGAAGACAGAGAGAAGGCTTTTTACGTCTTGTCAGGTCGCACAGTGAGCCAGGCCTCGGCTCTTCGACAGACACTGGTGAGACCACAACCACAAGATGTACGTTTCTATTAGTTTTACAGTGCTTGAATAATATCACCTTTTGTGACTTTGGATCTGGGGGGAGAAAAGTATCTACAGACACGGGTAAGAGCCTTAAATCCTAAAAATCTTGGAGATTTTCCAGGCTTTTTGCCAAGTGTACGGTCACTCACTGACTTTGTCTGAAATCATTTTTAAAAAAAGAATAGAAGAGATAACGCAGTGTTACCTTAGAAAATAAAACACTGGACCAATTTACAATAACTTCAGGAGTTACCCAATGATCTATCATAGTCCCTAATTTATTTTCTACTTGCAGTCTTATACAGCAACATCCGTCTTAAATTAATGACTTACAGGAAGCCTTTCAGTCACTAGGAGTCTCAGCTAAAACCAGTTCTTAACTCTAAGTCGCCTAAATTCATGACCTGTCTTAGTACAGGTGACCTTTGTATTGTAACACCAGATGGTAACATTGTAACAGGAAAAATCCACTTCAGACCACATTCTTAAACTATTGATACCTCAGTTAACAGTTTAACAGTAAAATGCAGTTCTAAACAAATTGGTTTTTTAACTTTGACTTAACAGAATTCAGGCTTTTATCACATTTACAGTCTTCTCGGAGTGTGTTATAGATAAGTTGAGCATATGAACTAAATGCTGCTTCTCCATGTTTGGTTCTAGTTGGTTTTCAGAGTAGACTTGAACTAAAAGACATGAAGGGTCTGGCAGGTTGATGCACTGAAAACAAATTATGTTATGTATTGAGGTGCTGATCCATTCAGTGATTTATAGACTAACAGGAGGATTTTAAAGTCTATTCTCTGAGATACAGGGAGTCAGTGGAAGGACTTCAGAAACAGTCTGATGTGTTCTACATTCTTAGTTCTAGTGAGAACATGGGCAGCAGATTTTTGGATCAGCTGCAGCTGTCTGATGGACTTTTTAGGCAAACCTATGAAGACACTGTTGTAGTGATCAATTCTAATAAAGATTAATGCAAGAATTAGTTTATCTAGATCCTGCTTGGACATTAGTCCTTTATTCCTGGAAATGTTCTTCAGATGATAAAAGGCTGACTCAATAATTGCCTTTATGTGCCTGAGAAGGTTCAGGTCTGAGTCCATCATGACAAGATTTCGGCCTTAATCAGTGGTTTCTAGCTGTAGTAACTGAAGCTGTGTGCTAACTCTGGATCTCTCCTCCTTTGGTAGCACAAACATAAAATTCCAAAATAAAATACCAAAAACTGTTTTTTTCTTGTTTTTTGCTGCTCTTGCACTACAGATTATTTTTGCACCTTGTTGTCGGAGTTGTAACTAAAACATATAAACCAAAATAAACTTACTGTAAATAAACGGCATACTAGTTAATTCAAAATATGGGGTCTAAAAGAAATTGGAGTTAGATATTTATTTCATAACATCATCTTATGTCAAACATAGAAGGTCATTTTAGAAATTTTAAGGAAGGTTTTATATTATAAAATAGTTTTATGATAAACAAATGCTGTCATTAAGATAAATTGGAATGACAGATTTATTTCATATAATCATCATTTTATTATCACATTAAGTCAAACCAATAAGGTCATAAAGGGTCCGTTAAATGAAGGTTTGATGTCATAAAGTCAAAGCAGCATGGACAACCTAGTTCAGAAAGGCCAATCTGAGTTGAAATATCAAAAAGCTAATGTGTTAATAGCTGGATCCACAATTAATAAATAGTTCACTAAGGGAAATTGGAATGAAAGCAATGTTAGATTCAAAATACGGGGTCCTTAAAAGAAATTAAAATGAAAGATTTATTTTAAAAAAGTTATTACTGGCGAAACAGTTGAGGCCATCAAAGGAATTGGAATGGAAGATTTATGTCAAAAAGTTATTTTCGGATAAAGAGAATGTCATTAAAGGAAATTCGAATGAACGTTTGATGTAAACATGTTTGATCTTAACCATGCTCACTGTAGTAGATGGTGCAGTTCGGATGCTGCTCTCCTCTCTAAAGCCCCATTTAAACTACCCTCTGAAAACCGATCCATGCCGAGCTCGATTCCTTACGATCATTTACACACCACGCTAGCATGGTCCCTCGCCTCCTGGTCACAATCTACAGCACTACTGCTCTCTAGAGGTAAACAAGCAAACCAACATGGTGGCGCCCATAATCTTCAGGCGAAGAAGGCAGCCTTTGGTGAATTTACTTGACAGAGTGGGCTTTTGGGAATTGGATATGACAAACCGTTTGTCATAACGACTCATTACTATGCAGTTGTTTATTTCTTCTGTAAAGGCAGCGCGCTGTCATGAGGTGGGATATCCAGAATGTATGAGGACATGCAATGCTATCTGTTTTAATTTTCTTTTGAATAAATACTGGACTTTTCAGAATGTTTTTAACCCTTGGTTACAGTGAAAAATAAAAAAAAGCATTCTTTAAAAGTGTAGCTCTCTGATTCTGTTGAAAGACAGATAGCAGGCAAGCAGTCAACTTCACAGCCTTAAAGGTAAGAAAAATCTCTTCTGAGACGAATGCTATAAAGATTTAATTAGGTAACCACAAGGTAGAGGAAATTAAACTAATTAAAAACATTTATTATAAATAGCAACTAACTTGGTTTTCATGATATTTGTATTTGTCTAATAAATTTTTGACTGCTTTTTGTGTAGTGGTGCAGTTATAATTTGAAGATAATGTGTTGACTTTATCATGTAAAAGGTAATCAATAACTAAACTGTTCTTCTTTAAGCAGGATAGTCAAAAAAGAAAGAGAAAACACTGACATACCAGCCAAGCAATGTCTCAAGCTCCAGTAAGTCATTCTGAGTTGAAGCTTTTCTTATGAAGAACCATAATTTTGGTCCACATTAGGCATCATAAGGGGTTTACACTATATTCAGTGGTGCCAAATAATTGATGGATTTTTCGTTTTTTTTCTCTTACAGATGGATATCAGCAATGTGGATGAACAATTTTGTGAAGGTCAGCAGCATGTGGAAAACAGAGACCTGGATCAGCTGAATATCTCTGAGAAATCAGTACATCGCTGTGACCACTGTGGAAAGGGTTTTAAGAGATCTTACTGTCTGAAAAGACACCTCCTTATCCACACCGGCGAAAAGCCTTTCCTCTGCGATCTGTGTGGGAAGCAATTCAGGCACAGTGGACATTTGAATCGCCATTTGTCCATTCACACCGGTGAAAAGCCATTCCTCTGCCTTCACTGTGGGAAGCAATTCCGCCAGAAAGGAAGTTTGAATCAACATCTATACATCCACACCGGCGAAAAGCCTTTCCTCTGCAATCTGTGTGGGAAGCAATTCAGGCACAGTGGAAATTTGAATCGCCATTTGTCCATTCACACTGGCGAAAAGCCATTCCTCTGCCTTCACTGTGGGAAGCAATTCCGCCAGAAAGGAAGTTTGAATCAACATCTATACATCCACACTGGCAAAAAGCCTTTCCTTTGCCATCAGTGTGGAAAGCAATTCCGCCAGAGAGCAAGTTTGAATCGCCATTTATACATCCACACTGGCGAAAAGCCTTTTGTCTGCCATCAGTGCGGGAAAAGCTTTGGTCTGAGATCTTCTCTCAGAACCCATCTACATATCCACACCAGAGTCCCTACATGTGCAGGGGGTGTGGAAAAAGCTTCAGACCATTGAAATCTGTGCAACATCATCTGCAAATTGACACAAGAGAAGAACTTTCTGTTTGGTTCTCATGCTTCTCCTTATCTGAGACCAAAGCTTAACGTCTTTAATAAAATTCACTTGCATTCAAAGATTTTTATGTTCTTTTGCAGCTATAGTTCTGATAAAAACTTTAAAATGAATACATATTCCTCCATTTTTAGCTTCCTTTTAATGGCTTCCTGTTAAATCCAGAATTATAATGACCAGATAATGGAAGATCAAGATTCAACCGGAGCAAGAGACATTTAAACAGTTTATTGGAATGAAAATGGCGCTGCTTGGGTGTGCGTGCGTGGGTGTGTGTGTGTGTGTGTGTGTGTGTTTTGAGAACAGGGACCAATAACAAACACCTGCACTTGGAAGTTTTGGACATCAAATTGAAAATAAAATCAAACAATCAGAAACAGCTTATCAGCTACTGACAGCTAAAGAGCTACTAACAGAGACTATAGATAATGTTAATCATCTCACTGTTCTTAAGTCACTGCTCCAGTTCCTTGTTTGTAAAAAAAAAAAAAAAAAAGAAAAAGAAAAAAAAAAATAGACCTTTTCTGTTGGTTCAGAAAGTACTTGAAAAATTCCCTGCAGGAATGAATTCCAGAGATCAACAGAGAACTGTTGTCTCACTATAAGATGAGGCAGCATTTCGTGTTGATGCTCCTGCTGTGGAGCAAACTCCCTGAAAACCGGTGATGTGTATAACCTTTCGGAGCCTTTATGTAAGGACAGATAGATAGGCCCCGCGCTTTACTGAGGCTTTGAATTTAAGCTTAAGCATATTTATTGTTTGTAAACAGGGGAAATTTATTTTGTGCAGTTTGTGGATCAAGAATTTATGTAATACTCGTTGAAAATACAGATGGTGTAAAATTCCTTAATAATCATTGTGCTAAGTTAAAATAATCTTTCTTTTGTATTGTAAATGTTTTAAAGGCCAAGCATCTTAACTTCTTTATGTATTACAGCTGTTACAGTTATTACAGTTTATTTATTTAGTTGTTGAACCTTGTTAGTAAGCTTCAGTTTGGTCTGCATACATTTATACATATGAAGGCAGAAACATTATCTTTCTCATTAGTCTAATCATTTTGGTAATCCTAACTGAGATGAAAACAACTTACTTTATTCAGATTTAATGTCAGAGAGTGAAACAAATGTTGACCTTATGCAGTATATGCAAGTATCTGGAAGTATGGAAAGCAATAGTATAAAATATTTATCATTTCAAGTTTGCACTTAATATTAAATCTGGGATGGGTCACTATGTCATTTATAATTATTGTATTTGTGTATTTATTTAACGCATGTAAAAACAAATGCCTCTACTGGAATATTGGAAACACCATAGAGCTGAAGTTTCCTCAGCTTCCATATGTTCTCACATATAGCAATGCTGTTGAGTGCTCATATACTCTGCGTCACTTGCTGCATTCCCCTAGAGGTCAAACCAGCTCTGACCAGCTGAAGCGAACGAGATGTTTGCCACGAGCTTGACCAGATAAAGACCAGCAAAGACTGGTTCATGGAGGAGTGCGACAGTCGGATGTGGGGGAGTTTACTCCTCTCCTCACATGCTCGGCAGCAGAAGGTAAACCTTCCCGTTTCTGTCAGAGGATCAGCTTTCTGCAAAGCAAGACCCGTAGGGCTCTCTCCCCTCTGACCTCTGCAGTGTCTCCAAATTTAGACCCCAGAGACTCGGGAACAAACCGATGTTATTTCAGTACCAGAACTTTATGTCCCTTATCTGATTAACACATCTGAATGGAATTCATGAACGGCATCTCCATTCACAGCTTTCTGAGAAAACCACTAAATCCATGCTCATGGTAAGAGCCGCGGTCATTGTCCTGCTCTATGTATGATTTTACTGCTCAGCTCTAAATTCCTAAGATATCTCATTTCTTCTCTCTTTCACTCAAGAATTTGTTTACCACCAGCAGCGGTGACGGACCCAGCCTCTCTCTTCCCCCCTTGTTACATAAGAAGACATTAGTGTCAAAGTTTGATTATATAACTCAGTTCTCAGTATTTCTAATGTCACAGTGTGCTTTGTTTCTAAATTCTGTGTTGAACCCCTGTGTTTGTTTTATAATCAAAAGGATGTTCAAATCTTGCTGGATTTTAGTTGCAGGCATGATCTTTTTATGTTCTATGGTTAAACATGTTTTCCTTATTTTAATGTGTGTGAATGAGAAAAAACGTCTACCTCTTGGTTTTCTTCCAAACTGGCTTTAAAAACTATTGCCCACTCATTGCAGATGTTCAAGTGAAATATGATACTTCTAGTCCAGCTTAGGGTTCAAGTATGCAAGTTTTCACCCAGATTTATAAATATGACACTGAAAGATCCCACATTAGAGTATTTAAATATGTACTGTATGTTGATGGGCTTTAAAAGCACATCCATTGCATTACTGTTTTTACTTCTTTTAATACTACTTATTCATGTTTACAACCCATCTGTAAATCATACTCTACACTGCTCCTGGGAGCAGCTTGGCTCTTTACTGAAAAATGTCTGAACGCCATTAGCAAGCACAATATTATAACTCTAAAGGACAACTAAACTGTGATTCACATGTAACGGATAACTTGAAATCCAGCAAATCTGCACACGTCTTTATATTTATGTGCAAACTTTTGAATTTTCTTGAAATTCTTTTCAATTTACACCAAACAGTCTCCTTAAGTTTACATCTGTCTTTCATTAAAATTGATCTAAAAAATTTCATAGAAAAGTTTTCACCTTTTTCTCATTTGCAGCTTTAAGCTAGTGATTCTCAACTTAAGTTATTTTAGGGATTAGTTATAATATGGACGGGCAACCTGTTCAGGGTGTACCACGCCTCTCGCCCATAGACAGCTGCAGTTAGGCACCAGCACCCCTCACGACCCCGCTTGGGATAAGCATGACGGATAATGGATGGATGGATGATCATAATATCTACCTTTAATGGGTGTTTATGGAATTGAAAGCAACAAGATAAAAACTATATAATTACTTTTAATTGGCTGTTTTGGAATCTTTCTAACTAGTATTTTGTTTTCTAATATTCCCTACGCACATACTGACTCACTATAAGGGGATCAAGAGGCAGATGCAGCTTTTTACATCAATTATTGTGAACAAACTAAAGAAGAACATAAAAATATGCCATGCATATATCTCCCAACTGCGGTTTTTGCAGCATTACTTAGGAGGAAATTGGATTTCCTTTGACTGAGTTTGCACAGAGCCATACAGCTCAAACTAAATTTCCAACTTGGGACATAAGAAATTATTTCCTGTGATGAACTAAATAGTTGACAGGCTAATTCAGACAGAAAATGCATACACAGAAGCATACACAACAACAAATGGCCCGTTTTATGGATTGTTTGTCTCATTGTTATAAGAAGAGCACGTCTGAGTAAGCTGCTAAATCCTGGAGTCTGATCTTGTTTTCCAGAATTTATTAAAAAAGGCAAGATGGAAACTGATAAGTGAGGTTAACATGAATCCAACAGTAAAATAAACAAGCTGTAGGGATTTAAGGTAAGAATCGACTGTGTCTCCGGTATTCCCTGTGTGTCTGGACTACAGAGCAGAGTTACAAAACAGATGCCTTCCCTTTCAAGGAAAAGACACAGACCTGAGAAAATCTCCTACAATATTACAGGACATTTTTTATGGTCTGATGAAACCAGACTTTAACTTTTGGGGCAGAAATTTCATTAGGATCTGTAAAATAACACATCTTTGAAGAATGGGGAAAAAACACTATATCTCATAGTGAAATGTGGAGTGACAGCATCCTGCTGTTTGGTTGTTTTGTTCCGATAGAAGCAGTTTTTGAAAACTTTTTTCTTTGAAGACAGTGTATGGTTCAAAGCAGAACTACAATAACAGATTGGTGCTTGTTGTGAAGAGAACAAACTCCTTTTTGAACTCCTGCTGCTAAATTTCTTATGTGATGTTATCCTCAATTAAATTGCATATCTGATATAAACTGATAAGACAGAAAAAAATCCACTCAATATAAAGGCCTAAATACATATATGGTTTTGTTTTTTGTGTTTTTTGTTGTGTTTTTTGGTCAAGGTGAGGAAATTCCTTAGAAGCTTCAAAACGCCAGTTAGTTTTGATTCAAAGCTTTCATGTATTTTTTTAGGTGAAAGATACAAATTTCAAAAACACTTAGTAATTCAATTCAATTCAGTTTATTTATATAGCGCCAAATTCACAACACATGTCATCTCAAGGCACTTTACAGTTCAACCAGATCATACAGTCAAATTGATACAAAGTTTTCTATCTAAGGAAAACCAGTTGATTGCATTGACTCATTGACTCAAATACAATCCCTCACATTAAGCATGCTTGTAGCGACAGTGGAGAGGAAAAACTCCCTTTTAACAGGAAGATACCTTCAGCAGAACCAGGCTCAGTGTGAGCGGTCATCTGCTGAGACCTACTGGGGTTCAAGGAGACAGAAGCAGAGAAACATAAAGCAGCTGTAAAAGGCGGCCCCGTCCATGAAACACACAGCCAGGCAGACGAGCTCCGAGCCAGCTCCCTTGCCAGAGGACGAAGAGAGCAGATCCACTCAGTCACGGTCAGAGAAACAGCACAACACTGGAAAACAGGCCGATCTCCAGCATCTATAAACAAGGGTGTGGATGGAAGCAGCACAGCTGATGTTTCTTTCCAGGTTCACTTCCTGTTTGGATTAACTGAGTGTTGCAGCTGTTGCAGTAGGTGGATGGAGTACTGAGTACTGGTACACTCAGTATTGTATATATATCTAAAGACATGCTTTGTTATAATGCTCTTTTAACCATTTACTGTAACCGGATACATACAGTGATAAACTGTGGGGGATCACTTTCAAACTGCTGTCAATGTTATAGTCTATTAATTTAGGCATATCTACTTTGATCGTATAACTCTTTTTAAAATCTAATCTTCTGAAATTTAAAGATGTTTGTTGTAAAGTAAATTCATGTGTCATGCAAAATAAAAATCAAAAAAACCTCTCAAGAATGTGTTGATAACAAGAAAACATAACACGACCGAAGAGTTTAACAGTA